ATAAACTTGCACGAAAAAATGTAAAAAATAAACGTTTCAAGGGCAATAACTTCTTAAGGAGTCAATTGACTATTTTGATCATCTGACTTATTTGTAGATTCTACTTAGCTGAACAATTTTGCCATTACACTTTCTCTCTATCTATTATAATATTAAAGGTAGTAACCAAAAACAGTAAAATTTCATAAAAATTAACTTTTTCGGACAGTAACCCTACAATGGGTGGTCAAATTGGTCTGAATATTTCATAGCAGATAGATTTTGACTTATCTATTTTAGCCATGGCGGCCATGTTTGTTAATGGATCAAAACTTCGGATACAATTTATAAACCAGTTACCCTAAGGAGTATTCAGTTAAAGTTTAGAAGTATTATGCCCAGTAATTTCAGATAAGAAGATGTTTAAATGTTAGCAAACATGATGAACAAATTGTGTAAAATTGTCTTTAAAGGGCAATAACTCCTTAAGGAGTCAATTGACAATTTTGGTCATTTAACGTTTTTGTAGATCTTACTTTGCTGAACATTTTTGCTATTTACAGTTTATCTTTACTTTCAATAATATTCAAGATAATAACCAAAAACTGCAAAATTTCCATAAAATTACCAATTTAGCGGCAGCAACCTAACAATGGGTTGTTCGGTTCGTCTGAAAATCTCAGGGCTGATAGATCTTGACCTATTAAATAATTTTCCCATTTTTCAGATTTGCTCTAAATACTTTAGTTTTTGAGATATAAGCCAAAAACTGCATTTGACCACTATGTTTTAGCCATGGCGGCCATGTTTGTTGATGGATCAAAACTTCGGATACAATTTATAACCTAGATACCCTAAGGAACATTCAGTTAAAGTTTGAAGTTATTTGGCTTAGTAGTTTCAGAGGAGAACATTCTTGAAATAGTTTACGACGACGACGACGACGACGACGACATCGACGACAGACGACGGACGACGACGGACGCCAAGTGATGGCATAAGCTCACATGGCCCTTTGGGCCAGGTGAGCTAAAAAGGTCAATTTCCCCTGAATTTGTTCCACACTATATCATGGCCATGTTCTTAAAGTCTTCAAACCTTTCTTGAAATTTGCAGGTCAGCTTTGTGTTTGTAACTTAAGGTTCAACAATATTATGAAGTACTAGTATTTATGTATCAACTATGCATGCCAACAGATGGGCTCAAGTTGGATATAGGGAAAGTAGTTTATCAAATTAGATTACTACGCCAATTATCTTAAAGTGATTTTATAGTATATATAGACACGGAGCTGGGCCTTCTTGTTGCAAAGGTCGATGGGATGGCCGTGTTCACGGGTTGACAGAGTCGACAGGTTGACTGGGTTGATAGGTAGACTTGGTCGACAGGTTGACAAGTTGACAGAGTCGACAAAGTGGAATGAGTCAACAATTTTAGGTTAGACTTGGTCGACAGGGTTGACTTGGTTGACCGGGTCGACAGCGTTGATAGGATTGACAAGGGTAAAGATGGTTCGACATTGTAAACCCTGTCAACCTGTTGACCTTGTCAACCTGTTGACCTTGTCAACCTGTCGACCCTGTCAACCTGTCAACCATGTTAACCTGTCGACCTTGTCAACCTATCGACCCTGTCAACCTGTCGACCCTCTTCAACCTGTAGACCCTGTCAACCTCTTTAACTTTAATGTCGTGTATCATATATAGTGCATACTGGCAAAGCCGAATCACAACCGGTTAAATGAGCAGGAACTATTTTATTTTACTCTATATCCTATTTGAAAAAAGTTTGATTAATCATCACAAAAAAGAATTTAGAAGAAAACAAAATTTATATTGGGGGTAAAGCTATCATAATGCTTCGTCTTTCCGATACAAATGTGCGTTGCTTTATATTGGCTTAAGATGTCATTCGATACCAAAACGTAAAATTTGCGATATTGTATCAAAACTGTCTGCAACAACGATGTATCGCGCTAAACATTTTCATTTCAAGAATTTAATAACAATAACGGTACCAATTTTTTGCACTAGATGAGCTTTTCGACAATGAATGTCTCTTCATTGATGCTCGAGGCCAAAATATTCGAAATCCATAGCTTATTAAAAAGATGGAGAGCTATAAACCAAAAAAAAAAAAAAAAAACAGGGTATAGCCAAAGCCGGGCAAGGATGAGGGAGATAAATTCCTTCATTTATTGCGAACCCAATGAAAGTTTTCCACAGTGCCATCTCTATCTTGACCAGGTATTTAAACTTTTGCAAGTTCACCTGTCCTATTGAATAAATACAATAGCTATTGTTCTCTGTGTAGTTTATTCTCTGGGACCTTTAAATTTCTTCTAAGAGAAATCTATCATTCATTGATTAAATCACCTGAGTAAAAAAATGATCTTATATGTAGACAAAAATACTTTTTTTTATACTCATTAACTGTGTGTGATGATGTATTTATTCAATATCAATAATATATTTTCATTCAGTTTAATATTAACATTGATTCAATCATGAAAAGTTGATTTCTGACAAAACTTTCAACATTGTTCCTTTTAAAAAAAAGATTGTTTGACATGAATAAGAACTTGAAAATAATGATGTTTCAAATTAAGATCTTCTTAAATGTATTCTATAACTAAAAAAAAAAAAAATCAAATTTCAATAGGAACATTGATAAAACTTTTGTTAGAAATTAACTTTTTATGATTGAATCAATGTTTATATTAAACTGAATGAAAATATATTATTAATATTGAATAAATACATCATAACACGCAATTAATGAGTATAAAAAAAGTATTTTTGTCTATATATAAGAATTTTTTTTTACTGGGTAATTTAATCAATGAATGATAGATTTCTCTTAGAAGAAATTTAAAGGTCCCAGAGAATAAACTACACAGAGAACAATAGCTATTGTATTTATTCAATAGGACAGGTGAACTTGCAAAAGTTTAAATACCTGGTCAAGATAGAGATGGCACTGTGGAAAACTTACATTGGGTTCGCAATAAAATAATTTCCAAAGTTTTGTAACAGGAAATTTTAATAACACAAAATCCGTATTTTCATGCCAGTACCGAAGTACTGGCTACTTGGCTGTTAATACCCTCGGGGACTAACAGTCCACCAGGGGATGCATCAATCCAGTGGTAGTAATAACATTAACGGTATTGTAACATCTGTAAAGTTTGTCTTTAGAATCTTTAATATTCAAATTCAAGCAGGTTTTAACAAATCTTTGATTTTGACCCTATGGGTGAGATACATTCATGGAAAACTTGCCCTACCTTTTTTATTGTCTAATAATGTACATATATTGGATACCAATAAAATCAACCTGTTTCTCAATACAAATGACCATGATGAACATTGATCTATATGTCCTGTCAGATGAGTTTTCAATTGGAATTAGTCTTGTTTATTTATATATTTACGATATCACTTACCTCAACCAATATTTATGAAAAAGAATTGTGAAATCCGATTTTTTTTCTAATATATAACCACGTCATTGATTGGGAGTTTAGGAGTCACCGTATCCGTATTTTTATATGAAGTAAATTATCAAACGTGGTATATCTATTCAAATACGCCTATTTATTGGCAAACATGCGTGGAATGACAGACAAGACACTGAGTTCAATAGTATTTTATGTTTTTAAGTGTAATATTTTGAACAACAGTTGCAGTAATGAAATTAAATATTAGTTAATATGTCATTCTGCAGAGTAAAGTTCTGCGTCTTAAATTATGATGAATTTGAAGTTTTATTGCTGTTCTTTATCTCAAAGTCACATTGAGGCCTTCAATACAGAGCAAAAATCTCACCTCACTGGAAGTTTAAGACGGCCCCTAGAAACGGTTTGATCGGAATTATGTGTAAAGTGCACGTGACGATCATGCCACACGCATCACTATTTCTTCTATAAATTAGGTTTCCATTTGTAAAGCAATCTAATAAAACGCAAAGATTTGGTTCTGTTTATTCTCAGTCTTGTGAATTATCAATAGTCAAATCTTTTTTTATTTTATTTTTTTTTGAAAAGGGGGATGATTGTGCTCCCTGTCAATGCGAACCGTAACCGTAACCGTATGGGAGAAATGTGTTTTTACGTACGTAAGCTGTTAAGATTGTTTTTCATTCTATAATCAATGCTTTTTTCATTTCCCTTTTTTACCTGAATGCGCTTTCGATTTCAAAATTATATCAGATCCCGCACGATTCATTGGGTTTGTGACAATTACTTTGTGTAGACACGGACTACATTTTGACCTACTAAGAGTTGTTTTCCTTTGAAGAAAAGTCTAAATTAGAATCAAGGTTGGTATTTTGACAATGGACAATTGTATAGCTTTACGTGTTCTATCAATAAAATTACATTTACTTTTCCAATTTAACTGCACCAGGTGCGTATTTCGACGATTAATGTCTCTCCAGCAATACGCGAGGCCAAAATATTTGAAAGTCTAAAATCTGATACAAACGTTGAAGAGCTTGCCGATAATAGATGTTTTGTCTATCATCTTTTTGTAGAGCATGACTAAAGTTGGAACTATAAATGGTAATATGAAATGATATGTAAGGAATATATAATACGTCATAATAATAAAAAAAAAAGAACACAGAACAGTATAAAACCTTAAATTAGACAAAACATTGTTCAACCAAAAACAACATTGATCATACAATTATAAACAAACACAGTGTAGCATTCGTCTTGAGTGACAGTACTTAAGATACATATCTGAAACATTTGTCTTAAGTATTGTTTTTGTAACAAACGAAATATGTTTTTAATTTATGAACTAATATATATACTATACTTTTTTGCACATTTTTGAATTACAAACAACTTTCAATATTTCAATCTCGGTAGAATGCCATTATACAATTGGTTCTCACGTATTATCAATATGTAAAAATACTGGGTCATATCCGGGTCTTTTCATTGTATCTATTAAAGTTATCCAAGATGGAGTCCCGTTATCGGTAACACGCGTATTTGTAGTAATCCTTGAAGTGGTGTTTTTCTCATGCTTTCCTCCTGTATACTTTATCATCAAATAAGCAATGACAGCAAGTAAAGCCCCAAGACCTGCTACTCCTATGATAGCTGCTGTGATAATTCCTCCAACTGCCGCTGATGGCAAAGTACTTTGGTCTGCAAAACACGGTTAAATATAAGTATTGAAATAATTCCATGGTTCAGTTCAGTGCTTAACTTTTTAGACCTTTCTACACTGTACAATGCCTTTAATATATCTCCAGTTGACACCATTCTGTTAACTGGATTCATTACAGGACATGGGTGACATATCACATAAGGGCTATTATTATGATTCTGTATAGTGGAAGACAAATATATATAAAAAATTTTAAAAAAATCATAAGTCGAAGAAAAACAGACAAAATTTTTTGTTAACTGTGTATTTGCATTCAGGTGTCACAGGTCAAATTTATTCGTTCATTGTGTGTTAATTTACGTTTTTTGATTTAGTTAAGCCTTCCAATTGATATTTTATAGTGTGTTTTTCTATGTTGTGATGTTATACTATTGTTTCAGAAAAGGGAGAAGGTTTGGTACCATTAAAACGTTTAATCCCGCTGCAAATGTTTGCACCTGTCCTAAGTCAGGAATCTGATTACAGTAGTTGTCGTCTGTTTATGTAGTTCATACGTGTTTCTCGTTTCTCGTTTTTATATAGATTAAACCGTTGGTTTTTCCGTTTGAATGGTTTTACACTAGTAATTTTTTGGGGCCCTTTATAGCTTGCTGTTCGGTGTGAGCCAATGCTCCGTGTTGAAGGCCGTACCTTGACCTATAATGGTTTACTTTTATAAATTGTAACTTGGATGGAGAGTTGTCTCATTGGCACTCATACCACATCTTCCTATATCTATTAACACACGAGCGAAAGAATATAAAGAAAGATAACCAAATGTCAACACAACATTGCTCATACAGCACGAGATTAAATATGGCTAGCAACATCATATTCTGAGCGCGAATTCATAAGGATATTAAGTAGTTCCTGCTCGACTTATGGCACCACTCGTGTTGCTCATGACTATTAAAAATCATTTCAAGAAGTCATATAATGTAACAAGTCGTAACCCAGGAAACGCCGACATAATTTTCACTGCTACGAATGCTACATTTTAATGGTACGCTTTTGCACAGAAATTCCGTTGCTGTCTACAAGGTCTTTTAAACATTACCTTTCAGGATCCGGAGCTTCTTTGTAAATGACAACTCTCTATAAAAAAAACTTTATTGAAATATAGTATCATTTATTTTAGTGCAGGTGCTGCCGTCAAGCCGTATTAGGTGGGAAGTTCATTTTAATTCTACACAGGCCTTCAGTGTCGATTTATAGATGGACATTAATTAAATATTAGTTATGTACATCTCTTTAACAATTCATCTTCAATATTCAAAGTGAGATAACTCCAAATTCCTGAGCTTTAATATTACAAGGCCTCACCTATCTGCATTTGCTCAGTCAACTGAAGTTTTATTTAGAATTAACAAATATATACAAGTATTAAATTCGTAACATCGAACATTATATAATTAATTAACTGTCATATATCATTATTTTTTGCGATAGTAGTTTTCATGCCACTATTTATGCAAGTTTGTGTATTATTTAACCAATAATATTAAAAGGAATTCGACACCCAAAGAAACCTTAATAAGCAAGACAACTAGATAGAAACTGACAGGTACAATGATACTTAAAAGATTGAACATACGGCAACTGTACGAAATATTGGGGATAAATGAATTTTATGAGAAATGGAGCAATCGGTGTTTTAACGGTACTTGATAGCATACCTTACGTAAACAGTTGCATTTTGTCAAAACAAAATGTACGTATCTTGTTGACACCCAAATCAGGGGAAAAAACCATAAAAAATACCAGGCTTAAATCTAGTACCCCAGATCCGCTTTCGTCTACACAAGACATATCAGTGGCGCATGAGTCAAAACAATTAGAAGGCCAAAACAATAACGAAATTGAATAGCACTAAAAACAAAACAATAAAAAAAAAATTGTGCCAATTTGGCTAATGTCATTTATATCTGGGGAAAGTATAACCTTATTGTTTCGCTCGATTTTAAAGTTTTATAAACAGTAAAATTGAAGATAATAAATTAAACGACTCGAATGTAATTTCATATAAAATGTCTACCCTTAAACGATGTTATGACGTTAATACAGACAAATAGTCCCAGAATGTTTTTAGCGTTAAAACCAGCTGACAATTTTCTGTTGTTTGGAGTATATGTAAGAAGTATATGCTGGATTAATTAACAAACAAAAAAACTAAGATCACAGGTTCAAATTAAAGAGAGCGAAGATACCAAGGGGCTAACAATCGGCAATATTTAAAAATATTGTTATAAAATTTCGTGCAGCAAATGTACAAATCCAAACCTTTCAGTAGTTCTGACGGGTATTATTAATTATTAACAAAAGTTGTGAGAAAGCAGCTTATCTTTATAGCGGTATATCAAATTTTGAAGTAAGAATTCATGAATGAACACTCTTTTGTAGCTCAATTTTTCTCTAATGCCAAACATAAATATTTCTACTAGATAAAATTGTCTTTTGAAAAATCATAGTGTATCTTGTCTCCTAGTAGTTGCAATATTACAAAAATACACTATGGGACATGCGAAGAAATGATTAAAGAAATTGTTTTTTGCTTTATCATATCTTGTTTAATTTTGGCATACGTCAAGCTTATTGCCTTGTATTCTGGTTAGTACAAACGATGCCTCTCTTATTGCAGATTCCCCCGGCTCTGTGACATCTTTAAAATAAGCTTATTTACTTTTATGACATCAAAGACAAATTGTGTCTTAAAGGCGTCACAATAACGTTCATTTTCGGAAAGTCTTTCTTTTGGAGCTTAAGGAATTTGATTAATTACGACATTCATACATTTATCGGTGAATTTACAGGGCCAAGTAAGCCCTGAAATGTACCTTTTCCTTTAAATATAATGGAATTTTATGCGGCTGTCATACAAGTGAGAGGTTTAGCTAGCTTTAAAATCAGGTTTAATCCACCATTTTTTACATAATAAAATGCCTGTACCAAGTCAGGAACATGACAGTTGTTTTCCATTCGTTTGATGTGTTTCAGTTTTTGATTTTGCCAATTGTTAAGGGACTTTCCGTTTTGAATTTTCCTTGGAATTCGGTATTCTTGTTGTTTTATTTTTTAAAATCAAAAGCTAGGATTTTTACTCAGGTTTTGTTTTGATCTCGATTGGTAAACTAAACCACTGTTAACTGCTGTTGCCTCTTATCTATTGTCAATTTTCTTTCCTTAATAGTGTTCCGTTGCATCATTTTTGGAGTTTATTAGTAATGTATGTTTTTGCAATGACATTTCAGATTTCCATGAACGTAATATTTTAATTACTAAATATCTTTTACATCAGGAATATGATCTCATGAATTGGTCAGATCTATTCATAAATTATATCTCAAATATACAGATTAATTTAGAGGTATGATTGTATATGCAAGGATTGAACAAATTAAAGTTGTTTTCACTCCCACAGTTTACGCGTATACTACTTATAATGCTAACAAATGTAAGAAATGTTCTTTAAATTTTCTTTTGGCTTAATACATTTTCTAATAATAAATACTAATTATACTATTGTTATTCGAACATTGTTTTTAAGAGTTAAACATCAATTCAGTATTTTCGGGATGAACATAAATTCATTGATATGGTCATAATTATAATTTAACTGTTGACAAAACTTTGAATTTTTCGAAACTCTCAGGATTTTCTACCCCAGGACTAGATTATCTTAGCTGTATTTGGCAAAACCAAAACCTTTTGGAATTTTAGGTTCTCAATGCTCTTCAACTTTGTACTTTATTTTGCCTTTTTAACTTCATTGATTTGAGTGTAACTGATCAGTTTTATGTAGACGGATCGCGCGCATGGCGTACAAAATTTTAATCTATGATGAGTTTATCAGTAAAAATATATCATACAAGGCTTTCACCTTTTTTTTTTTTTTTTGCCTTGTATTTCTATAAAACTAATTCTCGTCACTAGATATTTGTCTCCTTTTTTATTTCTTTTATCTCTTCTTTATAGTGTCACTGTGTGAAAATTTCCTAAAGTTCAGCCAATAATATTAGAATGAGACGGCATGATTTATCATCATCAGGTTAAGTATTTTGAGCTTTTTTCAGTGAATGTGGACATCCTTTATTATTTTTCACCTTGTACTTTTGGTCTGTGTTTTGTAATATAGTTAGACCTATGGTGGCCCTGAGCTGTTTTCTGCTCTTTAGTCGGGTTGTTGTCTCTTTGACACACTCCCCGTTTCCATTCTCACTTTGAGATGAAGAACAGCAATAAAAGCGCTGTTCCTTTGCTTTCTGTGTGTTTTTTTTGCTGTGCATGTATTGTTTTTGTGTCATGGATGGATACTCCATATCCTTGTTTTTCTATTCAATTTTATTAAGTACTTTTTCTGTTATAATTTTAATTGTATGCTCATGTACCTGTAATGGCATCTAAAGTGGCTATATTTCTTTATTTTTTAATGTTTGTTTTGTCATTTCGAAATGATTGTGCTAATTGCAGATCTTTGATGGTATCTGTTAAATATAATACTCTGATCTATTTATAGCTTGAAGTAAAGTACATTGTATACGGCTTTATTCACATGTCTTTCATGAAAGGTCATATATATATTGACCTTTAGATCTTTTTAGTTTTCTGTGTCTTTTTTCTTACATCTAGTGTAACTAAATTGATTTGTTCAATGTTAAATTACTCAATGCAAAACGGAACATAAAACCTGTTGCTTATGTTTTTTGTGGATGGAAAATAATAAAACATAACTTAAATAAAATCTTACTTTCCACCTCTGGTTTAGCTGTACTTGTAGTTAACTGCTCTTTATCTTCAGTTGTTGTTTCCAACGCTATTGTGGAAGATATGAACGCAGTTTCAGCAGTCAAACTATCGATTGTTGTTGGAGACTTCATCGATGTATTTAGTCGCCACGTTGATGAATCTGTAGTGTCAGTAGTTTGAGTAAATGATGTTGTTGACAGCAAAGATGTGCTTCGTGTACGTGTTGAAGAAACTTTAATATCTGTGCTATTTGATTCTTTAAGAATTGTAGAAAATAACGATGAACTTGAATCTTTTGTTGTTGTTGATTGATCGGTAGTTTCGATTGTAGGTAGAAGCTCAGTTATTGTTGAAAATAGTAAAGATGTATTTGCTAATTTGGTTGATGAATCGACAGTGACAATAATTTGTGATGAGGTTGTTATAGACAGTGATGATGTGCTTGCTGATTGCGTCGATGGGATATCAGTGTTCGTTGTTTGTGTTTCGGTTATTTTTGTTGACGGCAACGACGAGTTGAAAGTTTGTGTCGATGATACAGAATAATCCGCTGCTTGCGTCGACAGAATATAAGTGTCCGTTGTTTGTGGTTCAGTTATTTTTGTTGACGACAACGATGAATTGAATGTTTGTGTCGATGATAAAGGAGAATCAGATGACGTTTCATGGCCAGTAATTGTTGTAAACAACAACGATGTACTTACTGGTTGCGTTGATGTTTTTTGCTCTTCGATATTTTCTGTGGTTTTGGGGTCTTTCATTAACATCATGTACGAGAGCACAAATCCCCTCTTATTTTGTTCAAAGTCACTTATAAATTTGATTGAAACAGAGTCATTATATGCGTATAATGATGCATCATGCCATTCCTCGTCTGCACAAAGTTTGCCAGAATCTAAAATGAGTCAAATTTGCCAATGAGGAAATCAATATAAGTTTGAGAGATCAAGACCAAAACGGATAAACTTATTCATTTGGATATAATATTTTCATAAAGGACATTACATGTTTTATTATGTCAACATTATCTAATTGTAATATTTTGATATCATCGCCAAAAAAAAAGTTAACATATTTGTAAATGTTAGACCTTCTATTGTTTTCAAACTAGAAAGTTTACTTTGCTCCTGGAAATGTTTTCCTCATGAAAAATTAACGAAACTTTGCAGGTGTGCTCTTTATAGTAATGCCTTTGATTTCCATGCTTTGATTGAATCCCAAATGGATAAAATAGAGAATTTAAAGGCAATTGATCTTTTCGATCTCTTTTCCATATGTGGTAGTGGTCTGGACCTGTTTAAAGGCATATCAAAAAGTGACAACTGGTTATCATTCACAATCATAAACAGACCAGAAATATCAATATCAGGTACTATGATACTATTCACTATCAAAATCGATTCGTGGTAAGAGTATAAGAGTGAAAAATTGTTTTTCTTTATAATATACATGCATTTAAAAAAAGCTTTAAAGGTGAGTTAGTGTCAAGATTTATCAAATAAATATAAGAGAAGTAAAGGATTTCCATAATAAATTTCCATTATTTTCTTAAAGGGACAATTATCTAAAATATAAGAAACATCAAACCAACACGCGCCGATCTCAATACATCTCAATGCCTGAAATATTATGTCGATGCTGTTATGCAAAAATTAAATATATATATATAAAGTATATTACCACCAATTTGAAGAGAATCATAACAAGAATCAGGACTGTTTTTTTCAATATCCATATACACCACGGATATAACTATAACTGAATTGTCTGTAGAAGATATATTCCATGAGCATTCTGTATTCCTGAAAAAAAAGACTTAAAGTTATACTTTAAAAATACACTATAATTTATCTCTATACTTCGAGTATAATTTATGATTTTACGGTGAGACACTAGCATTTAATTGACGTATATTATATTTCTCCCGACAAATGTGCTTACCGTACTAATATGGAAATATCATAAAAAAAAGCTTAATTACTGCTATTTTTGCTTGTCGGTTCCCTGTGTAATTGCATTGCTATTCGTTTCCACTCGGCAAATTCCGGAAAATGCACTTAAGATTACGTTTTTCAATGAAAACACGCAACACAGGAGTATGGGAAACATAATACAATATATTATGAAAAATTAAAAACAATTAATATAGAGTTATTGAATTGAAAAAAGTATAGAACAAATATTGTTTACCATTTACTTTACGAAAACAGGAGCCAAGGTTGAAGACAAGCGCACTCATAGTGCACTGTGAAGTCAACAGAGGCTAATATTTATTAAATACTTCACACATCATTATTTTTTACTATTATACTGTCCGTCAATATATAACAAAATCAATATCAAAATTATATCAAAATTATCTCAAAATATCCATTATTTGATATCTAGCATGAGACGGTAGAAAAAAACTAGAATTTTTATTCAATTGTGTTGTACTTCGGATTGAATTATAATTCCTTCAATAAAGCGCTCTAGTGATGCAGACAAAATTGTCATTAGCTCCGCGTTGACAATATGCTCTTTGAAAATGACACAAAGTCCAAACTATTTTTTTTTAATTAAGTTATATTTAAAATAATTTTTTAATACATTGTTTATCAGAAAAAAGTATGAATTGTTATTGATATATAACTAGGCTAATTCATATTCAGAAATTGCAATTATATTAAATGTGAAGATGTTTTAAAGATGCGTCTTAAAAGGATAGGGGCGTAGCTAGTTGAAAATGATGTGCAAGCTAATGAAAATTTTTTTGGACCATTTTATGCAGAAAAAATTTTGTTTTCGGTTTTCGGTCAAAGGAGGGTTATTAACATAAACGGTACCAATTTTTCTGCACCAGATGCGCATTTCGACAATCAATGTCTCTTCTGTGATGCTCGAGGCCAAAAACATTTGAAAATCCATAGCTTATTAAAAATATGAGGAGCTATCAACCAAAAAGGACCACAAAGTATAGCCTAAGCTGAGCAAGGAATCAGAGTTTTGCACGAGGGAGATACATTCCTTAATTTTGAATAATTTCCAAAATTTTGTAACAGCAAGGTTCTTTATCATGTGGTCTATGAACGCAAAATATATTATTTTTTCTCAGCATGCCGGTGTGCACGCAACTGCTTGTTGGCGTATAGGGAGCTACGCGCCTGGTTCAAGACTCGTATGGATTTGGCAAAACTGAAATGGTACATCCTTGTGTCATAGAAGCGAGACTTAAGGGACAATAAATATCATAAATATGATTCCTGCAATTACATGATAAATGTAGAAGAATTATAACAAAACTTACTCGAGGTAGTTAATTGGAAAATTTGGACTAGTAATAAACTTTGGTGTAGATTCAGCTTCCTGGAAACTTGTATTTGAACATGCTGTTCCTGCTAAAAAATATTCAAAAATATTTTACAACTGAATATATATTTTCACAATGATTTCTTTTAAAATAAACTGTTCCCATTAGATTACGCCCTTATCGCCACAAATTTGAATATTGTAGTACATAATTATAAATTAATAAATTGTGGAAGGTGTATGTAACCCTTTTAAACACATGCATTTTAGACAAATAAGTTACAGGAGTGATGTCGATACACACAGTCACATCAAAGAAAACTTTGAAGAACGGTTTTTAAATGTAAAAAAAAAACGAAAATTGGGATAAATTCTACAATTCTAAAATATGTCAACATCATATTGGAAAATAATATAACGGTCATTGAACTCGCATTCTGATTGTATTGAAAGCACAAAAAAAGTAATGCGTCAAATCAAACCATACTATTTTTCATGTATATTACTTTCTACAAATAAAATATGTTGGACTCAAAATTCATAAACAGAAAAAATTCCATTAGAAGTATTAATTTTGGTGATCAACCTATGTACTATATTGTCTCAAATGTATGTCCTTTAATAACTCAAATCCATGGCCATTTTTGTCACAAATCTATGTCCTTTATCGAAATGTGGTGACGAAAGACATAGCAAGACGTAATCAAGTAAAACAATATGTGTAGTTTCATTCTTTAAAGGCACATTAATAAACTGAGTAACATGTATGCTCGTTATGCCAATAATTTGCACACAGAATTATGTTGTGGTTGTTGAATGTTGATGTCATGGTACACAATGGATTTTAAAAAATACATAGATTCTTAACCGAAATAGTTTCACCAGAAAAAAACCTTATTAATAAGATAGTGGCACAAAATGTCGTTGTTAAACCGGCAATAAATTATACCCTAAACATTTTTATGTGGTACTTATACATGGAAAAATTGAACAAATAGGTGTATGTGTTTACAGATTACCATACAGAATAGGTTCAATTCATTGTTGAAGGTCATACATGTATCTTTAGTTGCTTGTATACAGATATCATTTTGTCTCAGGTTGTTTATTAACTTATATTTCGTATTTGTTACCAAGACGTAATGAGTAAACGGAAGTAACGATAATTATTACAGAACAATTAAACACGGGATCAAGAAAAGCAAACAATTTGAAATGTTGTAGTTTTACAATAAAATGTAAATCATACAATAAGTACACACGCATGTAAAATTTTGAAGCACACACATGGAGAACACATCCCAACTTAACCTTGAATTATGGGAAATGACTTAATAAAACAAAAATCCTATAAGGCCGTACTTATTAGACTGGCATAAATTTGCGCATGGCGAAACAAACTGGAAAAAGATTTAAGAAAAGAACACAGATTTGAGGCCGTATCTTTTAAACGAACATAGATTTGCGAATGACGTCACGATTGAAACAAATTTGAAAATAGGACACAGATTTGAGCCGTATCTTTTTTAACGGACATAGATTAGCGATTGACGTCACGATGGGGCACAGATTTGAGAAACGGACACAAATTTGAGGCCGTACACAGATCTGAGGTTTACATATATGCATCATGGAACATTAAAACATTCGCAATCAGATAGGACTGCATGCGTATATCGTCATAATTTTCCAGATCTACATTTGCATTTCAAGAAGATACGTGCAAAATTGTTCAGCACTCAAAAGAAACGATATGATACAATGTCAACGGATGGTGGTTTAGCGAACTTTACATAGAAAGTGATGGAACGAACTGTGGAAAATGTATAAAATTTCAAAAGTCCTGGGACAGAATATGCCTACAATTAAACTATTGAAAATATGAAAAGTCTATAAATAAAGTTATAGATAGTACCCGCTGATAGTCATTACAAAACACATGTCATGCAATATATCTCAAACAAGCAACATCATAAAAGAGACTAATCATACAACTATATAAATATATACAAAAAATGATTGATAAACATTTAAAAAATAAGATAGAAGCATAAAACCTTACTGATAAACTATTGCCTATTTCGGTTACTTCAAAAGATGACCTGTGTTGCGTTTATGAAATGTCTGTTTTCGCGGAACATGCGTTTCTGTAAAGGGTATATTTTTTCATATGATAAATCTGTGAAAAAAAAACTTTTTTGTATCTATTACTGCCTATGTCATTATTTTGCCACACATAATAACAAGTCCATTTAAATATCAAATATTACAATTACAGAGAAAATATCTTACACATATCAGAAGATTCAATGATATTTAATGTAAAGCCTTTTCCATTATTTGTTGGGTCATCATCTGAGGTGAACTGTACGTATAACCCCGCCACGCTAGCTGTCCCTCGACGAGTTTGATCTGGAGAATCGTTATTGGTGGTATCAATCAAGACTCCTCCTGTGTCATCTAAACCTGAATAAAAAATGAAACGAGTTTAGTTGGCATATTCCTCATTTCCTTTCAAAATGCTTTACTTGTATCATAGAAATAGTCCAGACATTATATTAGAAATAAAATAAATACGAGGAAAGGCATGGACGAAGTAATGAATATGTCAAAATAATGAACTAGATACTTGACAAAAATAACACGATGATGACGTATTGATTCATTTCTATCGAAGGAAGACAATTCGAAAGGTTTAAAAGAGTCGTCTCCCATTACAACTGCAATATAGGTTATCACATATTTTTATTTTTGCGTATGTAAATCATTGTTGCGTTGCTTCCCTGGAATTCTCTAGTAATGATATATACTTCTATAATAATGTCACAACGAAGAACTCGTTATATATGTAGTGTTTAGGCAACATGGCCGATTTCACTGTAATAAATTCATGTGCAATACGCAGCAGTGGAATCCTGAGGTTATGGGAAAGTTGAAATTGAAAGAAAGTAAGATATCAAATATTTCGGATCAAAATTTTTCGGACTTTTATTTAATTTGTGAGTTATCAGTAATCGGCAAGTTTATTTTATTTTATTTTATTATTCTCGTTTGCATTGTTTTACATTTGTCATTTCGGGGCCTTTTATAGCTGACTATGCGGTAAGGGTTTTAATCATTGTTAAAGGCCGTACGATGACCTAAAGTTGTTAATTTCTGTGTCTTTTGGTCTCTTGTGGAGAGTTGTCTCATTGGAAATCATACCACATGTTCTTATTTTTATATTTATTGACGAATTATCATTTTAAACTTTAACAGCAACCAAAAAAAAAAACCATAGGACTAAAACGATATATTTGTAATTCTGATTGTATTTCAGAATAAAATTGAAGACCAGCGCGCATGTTCTACGTTTTACAAAATGGAAACTTCCGAAGAATATGTTCTGCAAAGGATATGCAGAATAGTAACCAGGGATAATTCCTAATTTAAACTTAACGTTTTTGTTTTCATTAAAATATCTAATTAAAAATATATGGTATATAAAGTTGTTTGGTCATATGCTTTTCAAAAACATAACCGAATTGTTAGAAATGTTTGCATATGTTAAAATGTTAATTGAAGCTTTTATAAACATGATATATATATCATATTCAAATATTGTTAATAAACAAGAGAACAAGGCATTTATATTTTATATCAATGAAAATTTAAAATGTCTCATTAGAAAACAAAGATGTGAATTGAAAATCATAAGTAAACTCATCATAGATACCAGGATTGAATTGTGTACCCCAGACGCGCGTTTCGTCTAAAAAATAGAAATCAGTAACGCTCGATTAAAAAAAACTTAAAAAGGCCAAACAAAGTACAAAGAGCATTGAGGACCCCAAATTCCTAAAAGTTTTGCCAAATACAGCTAAGGTAATTTATTCCTGGGGTAGAAAATCCTTAGTATTTAGAAAAATTCAAAGTTTTGTAAACAGTTAGTTTATAATTATGACCATATCAATGATAATTCATGTCAACACATCAAGTCGAAGACATTGGCCAAAATATGATGAAATTCTGGCATTTACTCTCTTGTTTTTTTTTAAAGAATCATTTCTTTTATTTTTATTCAGAAAACAAAAAGAAAAGAGGTTAAGGGCATCTGATACAGTTTTAATGCCACGTTGAATTTTTGAGGAAAAAAATGCATAAAGCTATTTCTCACAATTTTGGTTTCCTGGACAATTCTATCCTTTGGACAGACATACCCAACTGTCTAGTTGCAAAAGGTATACACAAGCGGATTTTTGTAAAATAAAAATTGGATTATCTTCTTAACATAAATATGTATAACAATTCTTTGAATATAATTCATTTTTATTAAATTTTCATGATTTTAGAAAAAAAAACGGTATATTTGCTGTATATTTATCTAATTGAAAAAAATCCATCGGTGATATATTCATAAAAAATGATACAAATAATGTTCATTCATAATCAAGCCAAATGTAATTTTTAAAAAGAGGGGTCCATGTGTTCGTTTTCAAGCTTATGATTAAAATCAGTAAAAAAATGCATCTTGTTCCCGATATGTTTGAGTTTGACGTCGCGAGAAAATAACATTTTACGATAGCAACGTCATCATCTCCCCTGTAACTGTATCGTATGCCCTTAAGCGTTTGATGTGCACCACCTAATTATTTGGACAAATAAATTTAGAACAATTCAATTCTTAAATAACGATGCGTGATGTATGAGTTTTAAAAGTGATTTGCCCTGAATTGAATAAGATTGTTATATTTAATAAAGATGATAAAACTTGGACGCGTAACATTCATTCATCATTCAGTTTAAAGTTTTATTATGGTGTTTCAATGATACCTGTAGAGCCTACAATATATTTCCGATAATAGTCGGAATAGTACTTTGTACACAACGAAAATTTTATAGTACAATTTAAAAACCTCGAAATAAAATTAATTTTGTTTTCTTCAATGTAGAATAAGAGGTCTCGCCCGCAAATTCTTTGATTATGTTACATTACCTTTGAAAATCTTCAAAATATCCATAGTGTTTACCATTGTTTTAAGCTGAACCCTATAAAGAAGGCTGCTTGTATTTAAAGAAGTTATAACTCTCCAGGAGCAGTTAAGATTTCTGTAATAAAATAAAAAAGATCAAAGAAAAGAGAATGCATGATGGAGATCATACATCTAAATTCACAATTTTTAATAAAGGAATCTTGTTTTTCCTCTGATATTTTGTAACCCTTAGGTTTTCCCCCTATTTAATTTAAAAAAAGCATTGGAACAATCTGGGTAAATAAAAGATACCGTGTCCGCGCTTCGCCTACACGAATCTGCACATGATCCGTTCTACTTTTGAATAATAAATCGAGATACTAGTATTTTGACATAATGGATCATTATTTAATTTCTTTCAGTAAAGTAGTAAAAATTCAGCAGAAATCTAAAAGCTAAGTGTGGGCACAAGATCGTTATTACAATCGATCAAATCTTGCAACTTTCAAATAATTTCATAAGTGTAATTTCAAAAATCCTCTAAAACTACAACTACGAAATTTTTTGAAACTATAAGGAATATTTATTTAAAGACCTTCTACAGACCATCATAATTTAACATTGATTAGCTGGTGACAAAGATGGCGACACTGACGACACATAGTTCCCATCTAAACAATATGGAAAAATCCTTTTTTCTTCTAATTCTCTGAAGCATCGAATTGCTTTTATTCTAGTGCCACTGATGATGTTATGTACTAAACTCGCGCCTGGCGTATTTAATTATAAATTAGAGACAACAGTAAAGTTTACCGATGTTTTAATCTCATATATCCTTTAAGTTGATACAAATCAAGGTAAAAATAAAAACTTAAAGCATTGCATGAATCTTCAAAAGGAGCCATACCAGGTGCATCGACAGGGTAAGTGTCTCTTGCTTACATGCAACACCCGCCAAGCAAGTACAGATTCAGTCCAAATGTCACAGATTGGAATGGAACACAATCGGTAAAATTACAAATCAGACGACTATTCTAGTATCTTAAACCATGTGAGTTGAGACATAGACATATCGTATTGGTCAACCAATTCGTGACGGTGACGATCAAACTTATGTAGTATCCATTCCAGTTGTCTTTCTTCATAACCCTGTTTCAGCATTTATTATAATCATTAGCCTGTTTTTATGAGTTCTTAGAAATGCATAGATTATTGCATTAAAATGCAGAAGATAAAGCAAGTAATAGAATGGGTTTCCCCTTATACGTACTGTGAATAATTTCCAGATTGAAAATTTGGAGATTCGATATATATTGTGGTAAACAACTGTAACTCTACGACTAATGTTGCACCTGAACACTGGCTGTAAACTAAAAAACATTGTACATGAAACATGTAAATGAATCCAAAAAGTGACAAAGATTTACCGAAAACGCGAAAAATTGACTTTAATTTTCTAAAAAAAATATTTTTAAATAACAATAGTTTACCAATGTTCAAAAACATTAAATCTATTTTGGAATATGCCAACCAAGGGAAGAAAAACACCTACGTGAAATAACACAGCTTCAAATGGAGATGTGATAACGTACATACGGATAAAAAAAATTCTAGATTATCCTGCAAAATAAAGACCCCGAACTTTAAAAGTACATGGATACCGGTGTTTACCTCTTGTAAATGACGTCATAAAGGCGCGCATAATTGATAAACATTTTCGAAGAAGGACACAGCTAAAAAATACCTAATTACACAGTGAACAATACTTTGAAAGTAATTACAAAACAAGCTCGAACGTTGCATTTATGTCTAGGTCATTGAATAGTTTGATAACTATTCAATGTTGTCTAGTTGTCATAACTACAATACCTTCCCTTTTCACGAATGTGACTTACCGAATTAGACTTTTTACCGGATTTGTAATAACATAAGTAACACGACGGGTGCCACATGTGGAGCAGGATCTGCTCACCCTTCCGGAGCACCTGAGATCACCCCCAGTGTTTGGTGGGGTTCGTGTTGCTTAGTCTTTGGTTTTCTATGTTGTGTCATCTGTACTATTATTTGTCTGTTTGTCTTTTTATTTTTGGCCATGGCGTTGTCAGTTTGTTTTCGATCTATGAGTTTGACTGTCCCTCTGGTATCTTTCGTCCCTCTTTGATAGTCAGGAGTGTAGACATGGTTTTTATTGTCAGGCGTCAAATATCATCTTTCGCTACGTTTGACATCAAATAAGGAAAAAATTTATTTTCATTTTTCAAATCGCATTTTTCAGCTATTGTTTGAGTCAAATGGAGTAAAATATTTATCGTTGTCGTTATTCTAAGAAAATGTTATTGTTAATCGTTATATGGATTATTGATAGGATAGGTAAAAAGACATTTAATTCACATTTGTTTTAATATCTAGAATTATCATAGTCAATTAGTTAATCCTTAATGAGGATAGATTGCATCATTTGTTGCAGCTAATCCGCTACTCTAGAGCTGTATCAAATATAATTTCATTGCAGCTTAAGTTTCTTAATTTATACATTGTTCAGATCTGACCCATAAAAAGTAAACAAATATGGAATCATTTTGTTAAAAATATATTTGAACTGTGATAATAAATTAAACTGCATATTTCAGTGAATGTGTCTTAATTAGGAATCTTTGTTTTAGTATATTTGTTTTATCTAAACAATTTTATCTTTAAAGAAGTTGATATGATATATTTTTCTTATTAAAAAATGAGGTGGACCATCCTTGACTTTCAAATGTTTATTCGAAGTAAAAAATACATTTTTTTCATTTACTTTTATAAGGAAAGCTTAAATAATGTCACTGGAACACCGTATCAAGAAGGATGTTATTTATGGGGAACATTATAGGGAATTTTCAACATTACACCCGTATCTACCCGAAACATCAATATAGTCCAAAGAGCTTTGCTCGATTTTTCGTTCCCTATTTGTAATGTTTTCTCTTTTGGACAGTTGAGTTTTCACTAGTAAATGAATTTTGGAATAAGTAATAGAACCAATAATTCGGGTCCGGTTGCAAAGAACATACAAGAAAGTTTAATATTTTATACAAAATGGTTCCTACGCATAGCTGTAACTTTGTCAAAAAGTAAAACATGTTGACAATTTCAGTATCAAATGAAAGCTCAAAGACTTGGGATAACTATAAAACCCTTGTTGAAAGTTTTTCTTGAATAATAAAATAGATAAATGAAATGTTGATAAGAATGCATACTTGCCCGTTTGCTCAGATCAGAAGTACCTGTTTTCATACTAACTTCCGGAAAACAGTGCGCTCTAATATGCAATTAAAGGTATGTTGAATTTTGCAGCACAAGTCAGGATAATGTATAGTTTTACTGACTGCCACTGTATTTGAACTTAATTGAACTGTATTTTGCTGTTCGGTGTGAGCCAAGGCTCCGTGTTGAATGTCGTACTTTGACCTATAATGGTTTACTTTTTCTAATTGTGACTTGGATGGAGAGTTTTCTCATTGGCACTCATACCAAATCTTCTATAAATATATAAATATCTATTAAGACAAAGTAGCTATAAATGCTTGAATAGAAATCAACGGGGCTATTAATAAGTGGTTTTATTCCTTAAACATCTTACATCATCTGTAAAATCTGAACAATAAATTATTTAGTCATGTTCTTTCTTTTAGTCAATGTTTTCTTAATTATAACTACTGAACAGTCTGAACATAGACTGAGCACACCTTGATTGAATGGAAGCTTATTGTTTGAACAGAACTGAACTTACCGCAGTTGATAATTCTGAAATTTGACTGAAAGACTTGAAATTACTTAACAATTTATCTGTTTAGATCCAAATGACCGTTTCAGATCAAAATTTATTTACTAGTATAGTGTTTTATATCGGTATCTTTGATGAGTTTTTGTTTATACAAACCTTTAGCGAAACATATTGACAGCAGTATTAACCAATAAAACTTGATCATGTCTAAATACCACTCTTACAAATCATAGTGTCATGATGCTCTCTACAAATAAAAATATAAAAAAATACAGCAATCGATAAAACTTGACACCTGCGTACATATATAAGTAATAAGGATATGAAGATTACCTTTTGGTTGTTCATTTAAAGTGGTAATAACTTATAGTTCAAAGATGTATAATAATATTTCATGAGTCCGTACTTTTGACTAGCAGAACGAAACATTCCAAAATTGTTTTATTTCCGAATAAAATATAAAATCTATGAATGCACGTGCTCAACGTGGCACAAATTTTTATTACATAAAAATGTAATTAGATAAAAATTTAACGCTTCCGCACCCATATATGGGTGTTATTTTATGTTTTTCCATGCGTACTCATTAGTTAATTAAACGTTGTCATAAAAGTTGTTAAAGGATTTGGTGTATCAGTTTTTCTTTATTTAGAATCGGTTAATACTATCTTCTCTCCATATTTATTAAACTAACGAGCTTTCCCTTGCATTTTTTTTGTTCTAACGAAGGATATTTCAGGTCATTGCTTTCGAAAAGCTGTCGGCGAATTAGAGTACGGGAAGGCAATAAATCAATAGTAGTACATTTCTAAACATTTTGATAAAATAAAGGATTTTCTTTAATAAGAAAGTCTATGTACACGTTTTTATAGTAAAACTTTATCATTCAAGTATATAAAACATTTTCATCTTTTAAAGAAAAATTAATTTGAAATACCAGAGGACTTTAGTTATTATATAAATGTTTACGTATCGCACAAATATATTTGTACGAAACTTTATTGTTCATCATAACACATATCTAAACTAAACTAAATTACTGTTTTTTAAGACACATTATCGTATCAAATTTACATATTATAAAGTTATAAAATAAGCGACGTAATACTATTGTACATGTATCTGCAATTTCATGTTTTTAATTTGCAATTCGATGCACAAACAGTCTATAAACTTAATTGATAACAGGTGTGGATATAAGAACACAATACCAAACATAATTTTTTATACATAAAAAGCACCATTCCTTTCATTCTTACCAAAACTAGTTAAAACATTCAAGCAACAATGCAGTAACCTCACACGTTGTCATACTAAATAAAATTCAAGGGCATATTATATTACTCTTTTTTTTGTTAGGACGTTTACAATGAACTCGAAGACAAATATAGTAAAAAAAAATAATAGAGCCTTTCATTTTGAAAACAGTGAACAAATTACATGTGTTGATAATGTTTGCTGTTGAAATTCATATAATTACATTTTCTGTTATGACGTTTTTTTCTATAAATATATCACTATTATGGAGAAATAAAGATATTTCCGTAGGCTTTCTTTAGATACAGACTTTTGAAGAAAAAATATTTGACACTAGATTTTCCATACGAACTATAAAGAAGAATGTTAAACTGATGAAACTAGTAATATGAATAACAAGAATTTTAAAATCATTCCACCAGAAGTATGTTTGAGATATAAGTTTTTAAAACACATTGAGAATGAAGAGGATCAGTATACGTAATAGTAAAAAATAGAGCAGTTACTTACAAATTAAAAGACAAATGGGGGATAAAATAACAAATTAAAAATCAAAACGAAGGTGTACCTGATTTGGGTACTACTTCTCTGACTTATATTTATCTTAATGAATATAGCTACGAGACGTATAAGTAGCAAGCACGGTGGAATGTGCTTTTCTTCTTTATTGTTATTAAGCTTAGGTAACTATTCAAATATATTGGAAAATGAAGTATTTCCAGCAATTAATTTCGTCGTGTTCTGACTATAAAACAATGCATTTCTGGATCTGATTGAATTTGATTTAAACAAAAACTTTCAAATAACATCACAAAATGAATAAAAAAGGGCATACAATTTGATCTAAAACGACCAAATGTTGTTGCACAATTCTTTAACAGCAAATCAGTTTAATCCCCCTCAAAAACCAAAAAATAGCTCCAGGAAAACAAACAAAAACAAAAAACAACCAAGCGAATCAGCAAATAAAAAAGAATTTTTTTTTTCAAACAAAAACGCACCGAAAAAAAAAACCAACAAAAAAATGAATAAATATTTTACATAAATAAAATTAAACAGTTTGACTGGTGTAAGCATTGCGCTTAGGCTTAAGATTTAAGCGTTCCCGTTTTACACAACTTGTTTGTATATTTATTTATTTAATTATTGCTTCCAAATACTGTGCGGAGCTATTTAATAGTTTCATTCGATATTCACGACATCTTGGTATTAACACTTAACAAATATCTGTTCTGATTGGTTGCCGTATGATTTGGCTAAAATTCGACAGGCTAGAATGGGATATAGAATTGGGAACATGTCCCGACGAGGAGAAGATATCAAATTACAGTATGGGTGGTGTCTTCCTCGAATGCCAACATTTTATAGGTTACCTATTCCTTGAACGCCAACAAAAATATTTCAATAGATTTTTATATAATAACAATAGGTGTTTTTATAACTATTTGAATGTTTTTATAAGTATTAAACTGATTAAAATAATTAGTGAACTTGATTAAATTGCAATATTTTATCACTTTTTGATAAGAGAAAATAGTATATTTTGGGGTTAAAATTATTATGAATTTAGAAGAAATAAAGAAAATTAAAACATTTTTGTTACTTTTTATTAAAAAAAAAAGAAGATGTTTTGGGAATGGAAATGTTTATTAACATAAGACATATTCGAAATATTAAAGAAATTTTAGTTAAATATTTCAAACTAAAAAAGGGAAATTAGAGATTTATTTAATTCCATATCATTTTAATTAATTTATTAGTCAATATGAACTTACAAGGTTGTAATATTGGGTGCATTGCATTTGCGCCAATTTTTACAAAATCCAATCATTCATTTGCGCCACAAGGTTATACCTCATTTTCGCCAAAAAATAAAAAATACATTTGCGCTATTTCACAGGTAACATATAACGGAAAAGTTTAATTATTCATTGCTGTATCGTGAATAAGAATTTTTTTAGAGTATCCCCCCTGGGTAACTAAGTGAGTACATACTCATTTCCAATATAAAACTGAGAGTCACTTAAGTTTAGAATTATATAGTGTTCACATTTTTGAGGTGTCAGTTCTGAGAAACAAACAGGCAGTTCATTTTTTCTCAATTGAATTGTTATATATATTTTTTATGTCGGGCCTGTATAGCCAACTATATGGTATGGGTTTTTCTCATTTTTGAAGGCCATACTGTTGCCTATAATTGCTTTCGTCCTTTTCATCTGATCTTTGGTGGATAGTTGTCTCATTGGCAATCATACCACATCTGCTTCTTTTTATAAAGTAGAAATAAGTCTGTATTTTTTATGACAACACATATAGGTTATCAAATGTATACATGAGTTTTCAAATGTTTTATTTTGGCGCAAATGAAATATGGTTTGTGGCGCAAATGAAAGATTTGTTTGGCGCAAATGAAATGTCAATTGGCGCAAAAGCAAAGCATTGGTAATATTATAACCAAGAAAAATATCCTGAACAACTGAACAAAATTAAAAAATAGTAATCTAACACGAGATACAAAGTTTTAAGAAATTCCATCAAGTAATATGGGAGGATATTACAGCACACACAACTATAGAAATATTGTAAAGAAACATCAAAGTCCAAAGAGTCTAATGTAGAATTTGTGCAAAATGGAATTCCTGACAATATGCACATGTTGACTTAGTGATGCAACACTTTTCAAAGTTTCATTTTAAGAGAATCCATATTTGTCACAGCTAAAAATGATTTTCAACAACTTGACAAACATGAACTAGATCTAGCTACCTGTAATTTACCTATCTGTTTAATTAGTATGGTTGTTTTGATAAGCATGCACTTTTGTTGTGATAACTACTTACACCTATTTCTCGAACGCCAACATAATTTTACAGGTAAATTGTCGGTAGATCAAAGGATGTTGGCATTCAAGGAATAAACCGTATGGGTATTCCAGACCGAATTAATTTAAAACTTATTGCTTTATGTTGACGTAATTAATGATACTGCGAAGCACTCCGTACCTTATTAGATAGGTAAAACTTGTAGTAACTTCTGTTATTTCGTTTGTCGGGTGTATTGACATTATTGACCTCTGGCTTCCGATTTCTTTCTTATTTGTAAATGCCATATTTGTAAAAAAAAAATATTTTCTTTACTTGACGTTATAGATATCTTAACTTTTACACAAAAGATTCGCCAATAAAATTGGAAATTGTATATCACTTTTCTTTATCCATTTTTTTATAATGATAATATATGTGAAAATATGTCATTATTTTTTTCTTTTTGTACAATATTTCTTTTTTTTTTACCACAAAGTGCAGAAAATGTGCTGTCGAGATAGGTTTATGTTTTATAATTGAATTATATGATTAATGTCAATCTCCTAATTTAAATATCTCTTTTGCTTTTACAATTGTTATGCATGGTTGCTACATTTTTAACTAAAACTAATAAATTATATCAAATAAAGGGAAATACAAATCGCGTTTAATTTACTTGGGAATATGATCCTATAAACATAAAAACGAAAACAAATTCGTACTTAATAGTTTTATCTCAGTAAATTTTGACTTGATATATATTTCAAATGTTTTCAAATACTAAAATATAACCAATTCTATTTGCTAAACGAAAAGCTGGGGAAGATTAATTCTGTATCGTTAATTACTCAGACTTAAATAAAGAGGGAGCTATGTATACTGTAAATTTATGCTGTCTCTGTACTGGTCAATGAGTCATATTTGTCATACTTAATTGAAACTAGATAACCATGTTTTCACGTGTAGAGAAATTTCACTAATGACTACAGGGCCCGTATGCACAACACATCTTAACTTAAGCGTTCCTTAAACTTAGATTTTGCTAAGAATTTCCTTAGCCAAGTAAACTTAAGTCGTATGCATAAAATTACTTGGAAGGAAATTGTTTTCTTAACATCCAGTGTCAAATATTTCATGCATGTACAAGACAAACCAAATCAACAATAAATATATCCTGTAAAAGAGG